CGTGGACCTTCCCAGCAGGCCGCACGGGGGGACGGGACCCCCTGCGCTCCACACACGTGACTGCTGGCAAGGAGGGGGCCTTGCAATACCTCCCCGCCCCCCAAATCGCAGGGAGCTCTTTTCCTGATTTTGCCCGAACCTTTGGTCGCCCGGTGGCCAAAGCTCTCTGGGTGGTTTAGCGTGAAAGACAACGGCAAGGTGGCCGTTCCAACTCTAAAGCAGTACAAGTGAAAATACTGTGCAGTGAAAAGCCAGCTGAGGCTTGGCGGGGGGCGGGGGGGCGTGCGACAGGGTAGCAAGGGCTGGCGTTGACAGAGGGGGTGTGCGCAGCTGCCCCGGCTTCCTCGGCCAAGGGGGCCTCGCAGCCCTGAATCCCTCTTCCCACCGGCAGCCCAGGGGTGGCAAGGTTTGGCCTGGCCCAGGCAGCACCGCCCGCTTTGGCCTCCTCTTGCTCCCCGCTATCGCTGGCTGCGAAAACCACACCACCACACGTGCCCAATTGCTGCACGGATAAGAGACCGAGATAACCCCGGCCCTTTGCCGCCACAGGGCTGGCTAGATCTGGAGGCAGGGAAGCCCCGGGGTCAGGCCTGACCGGCTCACAGCCCTGCGCATGGCCAGAGCCCCTGCAATCCAGCTGGGGGGGGGGGGGGCAAAACCCCAAAGGCCCCCCAAACTCTGCCGGGCCTTGTGGGGCAGAGGGGAGCAGGGAGGCCCATCACTTTCTTAATCTCCGGCCATAATGGCCCCATTGAGGCCTGTCCTTTGCAAAACACTTGCCAGCTGATAACAGAGACAGAGGTAAAGGAATGCAAACATGGAGTGTGATAAAACGCTTTGTCCCTCCTGGAGCCACTGCCCTCTGGAATTCCCAGGCACCACCTCCCCCATCAGGCTGGGCTCCATTTATTCTCCTGCCTGGATGCTTTGCCCTGTGGGGAGTGGGGCAGAGGCGGCTGGCAGAGGAGGCCTCTGGAAGACAAGCAGGGAACTGTGGCAGGTTGGCTACCGCCGCGGAGCCAGCAGCATCTGGACCACTGTTTAGCAGCTTAGCAGCTGTTCAAGGTCAGGCAACTCCCTGGAAGAACAGAACAAGGAGGCCAAGGGGGTAAACCCAAATCCACGGAGGCAAAGGTTCTAAATCAGAAATTATTTCATTTTATTTCATTTTATTTCTATAGCCGCCCTTCTCAACAAGCGACTCTCCAGTTGATTCCAGTTTGGTCAGACTCCCGCACGAGTACACCATGCAGTTCTGGTCATCCCAGTTTAAGAAGGATTTGGAGGAACCTGGAATGTGACAAAACAGGTTCAGAGAAGGGCTAGAAGAAGAATCAGGGCTGGAAACAGGCCTCCAGAGAAACGTTGACTTGTGGGGGGGGGGGCTGAGGGAGGGAGCAGGAAGGTCTTAGGTCACAGAGAAGAAGGTCCAAACTTTTTCTCCCTCGTTCTGGAGCGCAAGGCACAGAATGACGGGTTTAAGTTTCAGACGGAACTGCTTTGCTGCCGGTGGGCTACGGCCAAGCCAGAGGTGCTGAGCAGCAACGAGACAACTCTCGCCTCTTGAGTTAGATCCCAGAGACAGAAGGAGGTGTCTTGCTCTACTGTGAGCTCTGCAGGGCTTTCTTCTCACGCCCCTCCTGACCACCCCTTTGCACAGTCCTGGAAGGGCCCCTTCCAACCCCAGGATTCGAGGAGGGTCCTCCCTCGCTGGGCTGGGGAAAGGGAGAAGTCATTGTCTCCTTCGCCGAGCCATTCCGCAAACTGGCCAATTCACCTGCTACTGTGCGATGAATCTAAAGCAGGGTTTCTCAACCTTGGCAGTACGTGCTGGCTGAGGAATTCTGGGAGTTGCAGGCTACTCATCTTAAGGTTGCCAGAGTTGAAAACCACTGATCTAAACAGGCAGCAAATCTGGAACCAGATCGATACATGGAGGAATGACTTGGATGTCAGGGAAGGTTCTGTGAAGCTGCAAAGTGGTCTTCAGAAAGCTACCCACTGCGTGGACTGATCTGTGTCCAGGCTGGTGGCGGGGGCAGAGGCCCCGGGGGCAGGCGGATAGCAGAGCTCTTTCTCATGTCAGGGGGTCTTTTCTGGAGCCTCTCCCTAAGAGGGAGCTCTGGGAAGCCCCAAGGACAGTAGGACGGCAGATCTCCAGATCGCCAGTTTGAAGGTTGGGGAGGAGGGAACCCATCTGAACATCTGCCCACCTTGAATGGCCAACCTTTGGCCAGATATTTTGGGCTGTCTCCCTCTTCCTGAAAGGAAACGGGCGCAAGCTGTGACAGGGAAAACTGGAGCAAATCCAGGCTGACTTCCTGTGGGTCAGGCTGGCCGGCCGAGAGGCAGCTGATCTGAACCCGGCACCAGGTGTTCGGGGCAGCCTCGCGCGAGAGTCCCCTGCCCCTTTCTCACCTGGAGCAGGCAAGCCAGTTGCTGGCTCCGCCTCCCGCCCCTTCTTACACTGAGGGAAACAGTCAAGTCAGCATCAAGCGAGGGGCCTGAAGCCCCTGCTGGAAGCTCCCTCCTGCTGTAACCCCCGGAGGACCAAGCTCCGATGAGCATGCTGGGAATTCTTTGGCCAGGCTTGCTGGAATGTGGGAATTGGGTCCCAGCCGGGCTGGAGGAGGCTGCTCGATCTATGGGCTGATGGAGTTCTTATGGGGTGCGCGCCTGGTGGAGGCGGCTGGCGGTGTTAGAGCTCCCCCTTGTGCTGGGTTCAGGTTGTGCTGGGAACGAAGTTCGGCCGGACTGGCCCGGGGAGCACCGGAGAAGCTCCACCCTCGTGAAGTCCCCGAAGGCTGGGGAGGCAGGACTGACCTTTGCAGAACTCCTGCTCCCTTCCCTCCCTTCCCTTCCCGGCTTTCCTTCCCTTCCCCTTCCCCTTCCCCTACTGGTGCTTACTTGTTTTTGACGGCCTTTTCTACCAGCTGTCCCAGAACAAAGGTTAAGCAGACCCGCCTCTAATTTCCAAGATCTTCTGAGTTGCTGCTTGTAACTTGGTGTAACTGTCCTCCCTTTCAGTCCTCTGGAAACTCCACAGTTTTGCTAGAGGTCAGCAATTTTACCTCTGAGCTTCTTAAGAGTTCTCAGGTTGACCCCACCTGGCCCCACTGATAAGTACCTACATTGTTTCTCAAGATATCCTGGAGCCTCTTTGCCTGTTGCCTCCATTTGCTTTAGCCTTCAGTTCCCTCCCTGAGAAAGTCAGGACAGGCTCTAATAGGGGAGGGATACAAAGAATTCACGGGCTTTCTCCGTGGTCTCCTGACCCTTCCTGAGTTCTCTCTTTTGCTGCTGAACAGCCTGAACGCTTTCCCAGCCATTTCCTGCTTGGGATCATCTGGAGAGGCTCTTAAAGTTTCACCTCAAGGGTTTCCCTGCATGTCCCTCTTTTTTCCACCTTATTGTGCCTTGAAGGGGCCTCGGGGCTCAGCTCTGAGCACCAGCACAGGAGCCCCGGGACGCCTCGCCTTTTCGTAACGTTCCGGCTGCGAGGCTCTTCGTTCTCTTCCTTGCGTGTCTCCTGTTGCGCCCTTCCGTGACCCCGTTTCCCACGCTGGCCCTCGCAGAACATCTGCGCCTTCCAGACCAGATGCTGCCACCCGTTCTTGGCTTTCCTGCTGGTGATGGGGAAGGGCTGCTCTGCTCCTGAGGTGCTGCTGTGGGCAGCAGCCTGGATCCATCTCAGTTCAGGCGGGGGCCTGTCTCCCTTGCGCAGGATGGTTTTGTCCCCAGAAAGTCCCCGAGCCAGATCGATCCAGCCCCCCGCCCGGTGCCGAGACCCCTGAGCTCTGTGCCACCAGCTACCTGCAGACACGGACCGTGGGACGTTTCTGAAGCCTCGGCTGTCCTGCAATTCTTCCTGTAAAATTGCCTCCTGGCTGCAAGAAACAGCTCAGAAAGAGCCTCTGCCGCTGAAAATGGGAGACTCCAAAAGGGCTCAGTTGCATTGAGAGACGAAGGACTAGATCCTGCCCTGCAAGGCTCCACACTCGTGTGCTCTTTTCACAACCCACAGGTGGACTGCCGCTACAGACCCCTGCGCGTGACCAGGGGGGGGAGAGCCGGTGCACGGCTGAGGCACACTCAGCACCCCGTGGCTGGGCTGCTGCAGCAGAAGCCTGCCCGGGTGTTCATTGCCGCACAAACCCCTGGCATGCTTGGAGAAAGGGCACTGAGTGGGGCTACCTTCGGTAGCCAGGGACTGTCTGGACACCCTGGACCGCAGGTCCCATCGAGCCCGGTCACCCTGGGTGCCAGCGAACGTTTCAGCTGGAGAAATAGAACTTCCAGAGAAGCAAGATCCCCTGGGCAGCGGTTGCTTTCCCCTTAACAACGGCTACAACACCCCGTTCAGTCCCTCCTGCAGAACCCGTTAAAGAAGGAGGGTCTTCTGTCTTCACATTTCAAGATATTGCTTTAGTTTATTATTTTATTTAGCTATTTATTGTTTTATTTAATTCAATGCAATTGGTATTACAAAACAAAGGTCTTTGCTGATTTGCCCTCTCCCTTGTTCCCCTCCCTTGATCCTCAAAACATGTAACAATTCTATAATTCCAAAGTGTGGTTTCTGTTCTGCCAAGGGATATTTAATAAAATCACAGAATCCCCGGGCGGGAAGAGACCGTGGAGGTCACCTAGTCCAACCCCCTGCCCGGGGCAGGAAGCCTCAGACCCTGCCAGACAAAGGGCCGTCCGACCTTGGCCTGAAGACCCACAGCGAGGGAGCCCCGCAGCCCCGGGAGGGAGGGAGGCTCTTCCGCTGC